ACCTGCATGACCCATTCCCTTCAAGGAGGCCTCCCCTCCTGTTCCTGTCACCTCCCCCTCATGCCGTCAGGTGAGGATCCGTCATGGATTAACCCACTGCTGAAGTCAGACCTCCAGACGCAGTCTCCCCTTCAAGCCCCCCACTGCACACTGCTGCCCTGGGGACCCGGCCTTGCACACGTGAGCCGTGGGGGACCGAATGACGCAATGGTTCCAACCTAGATCTTCTCATTCCTTTCTAGTGGAGAGTTTTTAGACTTCTAAGTTCCTCAGACTTCCTTGGGTTACCAAAAGCTGTGGGCACAGGAAGCCAGATTTCTCCAGTTCACGGGCCACCCTCTCCCTGAGTCAGGGCAAGGAGTCCCTCGCCTGCCCGCGACAGCGCCAACTTCTCACACCGGGAGGGAGCCTCACACCCCTTCCCTTCGCCTGTGGCGGGCTCCTCCTCTCCGACCAGGCTCAGGACAAAGATTCCACTTCCTTCTATGGTGGTTCTGCCATCGGAAAGTTCTTGTTGAGATCTGACCAGCGCTCCTGCCGCAGTGGAGCCAAAAATCCTCACAAGCGCTTGTGTAACCTTTTATGACAGGACCTGGTTTCATGTAGGAGGCATTTCGGGATTGAGAAAGCTTTGTGGGCTATGCACTGCCTGAAGCAGCCTTGGTGAAGCCGTGGGCCTTGTTCTGGCTCCGAGGACAGTGGTTCTGATTCTGCACATAGCTTGCCACTGCAGAGAGTGAAACCAGTTTTTTTTTTTTTTTGAGACAGGATTTCTGTTTGTAGTCCAGGCTGGCCTCGAACTCACAACGATCCTCCTGCCTCAGCCTCCCAAGTGCTGGGATTACAGGTGTGCTCCACCAGGCCGGGCTCCACACATTCTTCGGTCCAGTGTCGGAGGCCGAGGGCTCCCCTCCTCGCTTCCAAGCATCTATCACTAGCCTGTCAGGATGCTGTGATGCCCGGTGAGGGCCCCCAGCACCTCAGCACAGCACGAGGTGAGCGACTGCTAGGACCTCAGGGCGTTGCAGCCCAGGACGTGTTTACCACGGGAACTGACCAGTGCTCCAAGCCGCAGCCGTCTCCCTCAGGGCTGGTCTGCCAGCCCAGCACGTCTGCTCTGCGATCACAAACCCTCCCGTGCTGCCTTAACCAAGAGGCCCAGCGTGGAGAGGACAGGCCCACATGCGCCCGAGGCCGCAGGCCTGCAGGGGCAGGGGCGGGACGGGCGGGGAGGAAGCAGGCCGGGGACTGTCGTGCTTCACAGGCAGACAAAGCACCTGCGCCTCCAGTCCTGGGGACGAGTCTGGGCGCCACCTGTGGCTTGCCACTGCCGTCCTCTCCCTTAGTAATGACAGGGAAGCTTGATTCACACAGAGGCTAGAAAGGGCCCCGAACTCAGGGCTCGGGTGGGCTTCGGCCTGCGGACCTTGGTGAGGGCAGGTGGAGGACCACGTTCGCCACCCGGGCCGCAAGGAGACCCCTTCGCCCTCCAGGGTGCCCTGGCCTGGCAGAGCCCTGCGGGGAGCAGGACTCAGAGCTCCAGGGCTTTGGTTCAGAGCAGCGAGTGCCCACGACAGGAGAGCCACGGGCGGGGACAGGTTGAGCAGGGGAAGCTGGACGCCCTGCTGGCCCTGCCCGTCGCCGCTGTGTCCCCGGCCCTGTGCCTAGGGCAAGCGCTATGGCGGCAGAGCCTGGGCAGCTGCCAGGGCCTCCCTAAGACCTGCGGAAGGTCGGCCAGGGGAGGGGAGGGGGGCCATGGCCGGGTCAGCTCTGCAGGCAGCCTGCGGGTCTTCAGCCGCGCTCCTGCAGGCCGAGGTGACTCGCTTCCCCGCTGGCACCTCCTTAGGGCCCTGGGCAGGCTCCGAGCCCCAGCTCTGCCCGCTGGCTCCCAGTCGGAGTTCTGGCCTCTGTCTGAAGACCGCCTGCCCCGGGCCTGGCTGACGCGAGTGCCCAGCTCCGTCTCCTTCCCAGGTGTGGCCTTGCCCCCCTCCTCCGGGTGACCCTCAGCCACAGAGGCGGGGCGGGCGGGCCACCGTCTGCTGAGCCCGTGATGCAGGACCCGGGGATGCAGGGACGCCCCAGGGACAAAGCTGAGACTGCTGTGACTCTTGGGCGGAACCGGGCCCGCGTGCAGGCACCACCTCGAGGCCGAGGCGGCCGGCAGTGCCCGTCAGGGAACTGGCAGCCACGTGCAAGGCAGCGGGTGGGGCTGGCAGCCAACGGGCATGAGGCGGGTGGGCAATCAGCAGGGTAATCGCGGAAACTGGGTTCCAGGGTGCCAGGAGCTACCGGAGGCGCGGGGTGCACGGCTCCCGCGTGGAGA